CTACATAAGAAAATCATTAAGTCAAACATTGCTGTTGATTCACTTTGTCCACAGAAAAAAAAAATAGATTGGAATAATGCTTATAAATCAAAACAAAATAGTTTCCCATAAACTATCAAAAAAGGTTTAAGCTTGGAATCAAAAATTCTAACAGTAAATTAAAGTCTTTAAAAAATATTTCATTAAAAAAAAAATGAATTGAAATGAAGAAGTAAGAAATTTAGCAACAAGAAAAAAGAATGAATCCTCGAAAAAAATGCTCAATTGTTGGCATTTAATTCGAAAATTTAAGTATTAAGAAAAAGAGCTCCATTGTTTTTTTGAAAAAATGCTTCCCGGTTTATCAATGAATCAACAGTGAATTCGTCACCACCGGATGACTATCCTTAAAGATTAATCACTTTCGATCAACACACCAATTCATTCTGCCTACTTTTTATTAATCCAGTGTCAGAATTAATTTCACATTTTATGGTAGAAAGAATTTCATTTATCTAACTCAAACCTTTTTTTTTCCTTTTCTAACCTTCTTATTACTTTGACTTTTATTTCGTTTTGTGTTGAAAAAAATCCAATTATTTGGACGGATAGCAATAAGAAAACAACCAACAGATAGCAATAGATGACATTCCGAAAAAAAAAGAAAAATATTGAAAATCTACTATACAGAGCTCCTACAATTTAAAGGAAAGTTCAAGTGAAACAAAATTCATCTTTCAATCAATTTTATTATAAAAGACATCCAAAATAACACCTTGCACTGTCTGTTCTTATTCGGAATTATGGCAATGACAGGTTATGCGATGGTTTTAGTATCAGTTAATATAATTCTGTAAAGACTGAAGATTTCAGGATAAATAATATTGTCAAAGATCCTTCAAATGTCGGAAGCTTTCACGGGAAGAGACTTATGAGTGGTGTCATGTGCTTTATATTATCTTTCCTTCCAAATTTCAAAGAGTTTAACATATCGTTGTTTATTTGAAGGGAAGCAATTAAACAAGAAGTTGCATCTTAGCTAATAAAGTATGTAACTAAAGAGCCTTTACCAATTGGTAATTAAGAACGAAGCAAAATGTCACATAAATGTCACCTAATCTCTAGGTATAAATGCTCAGAAATATCAGGAAGTGTTTGTTTGCATTGCCTTTGAATATGTCGCTGCTTTTACTGCTTAAACATTTTGTTTCCTTATACAAATAAACTAAACGACAAGCTGTATATGAAAATTTCACATATTTCTCATTAGCATGCCCAAATATTTCCAACAACTATAAGCAGAATGATACGGTATGAATGCGCTTATTAGTTATAGAAGTAAAAAGAAGTAATTTGAAAATTTGCATAACAGATATTTGAAAGAATGAAAGTGATCCTTTTTACTTTCAAATAACAATATATTCATTCCAATAAATATGCAAATATAATTGCATTTTGTTGATAAGCTTTGAAAAGTTGAGACAAGTGATAACAATTGCTTGTTATGAGAAGAGATATATAATGGAGTGAGGAGAGTGGAAGAAATCTGAAATTGAAAGCAATTCCCGAAACAATTAGAACATTTCGGTTGATCACAGCATTTGCACCACAAAAATCGATGACAGTGCTTGGATTAGTCACCGCCGGATGACGTAATGATACATATTATTAAATTAACTAACGAAAATTAAAAAAAAAAAAGATGAGGAAGAGATATTTTTTTTTGGAATACATTTCATATCAGCGAGACTGGTACTGATTTTCATTACTTGAACAGTGCTGTACACATGACAGCATTTGCGTTGCTATTTTTAAGCTTTGCGATTTACATTTCACGACATACTTCTGCTTATCTTCACTACCACAATGGGTCAAGTGAGATTCGATGAAATCCGCAAACAACTGCGAACAGATATCCGGCTATGAACCTTACGAGTTCAGATCCGGCAATCCGATGGGAAAAGGGTGGGAAGGTGCTGTCATATGTGCGCGTTCATTTCCTGTCAAATGGAAAAATATTTCAAAACAGTTCAGACAGCAAGTAATGGAGAATAAATAACAAACAATAATTGTAAATATGTGCTGTACGCCATGTGTGTGTGTGTGTGTGTGTGTGTGTGTTTGTGTGTGTATGTGTATGTGTGGGTATGTGTGTCTGTGCGGTAATACTAATTTCCGAATAATATCCATCAAATTTCATAATAGTATCCATCAGCCAACAATTTCACCCTAATTATCGTTCTAAAGAATGATTTTGAAAAATCGAAAAAAAGATCAATCAATGAACTGATTAATGAAATGTTAACAACAATGTTTGTAAGTATAGCAAAAATGAATTACAATTAGTACTATAAATATATGCAATAATAATCAATTAGTAAAATGAGATCTGAATTAACATGATTTATGAAACATACAAATGCAATTACAGTAAAAGCATTTTAGACGAATTCAATTCACCTTTCTCTTTTATGACAGTCTCTTTCTTGCTGTTCCGGAAAATAATAAGTGAAAGTTACAATTCCAGTAAGTTTCTGTAATCAAAAGGAACCCATCACCAGCTAATCATTTCATCTCTTGTCTCGTACGGTTGACCTTTTGACGGACTAGAACTACAAGGATTTACTTTACTGAATGTTCTGGTAATTTCGACAAGATAAATTTAAAGGAATTCATTCCTTCATACCTCCACATTTTCGCCATCTCTCCTAAGAATTCCATTACTATGGAAGTCAATCTTGCAATTAGTACTATAAATATGAAAAAAAAAAGTACTATAAATATAGAAAAAAGAGCTAAAAATATGCAAATCAATCACAAATTTTGAAATTTCTGACAGTATAGTAAACACTTCAGCTGGAATCAATCCAAAAAAATTGCCCATAACTCATTTGTCACAGACATTAAATTTGGGGAAAATTCCATCTCTTCAAAGATTTGAATTTTGAATAACTGACATTGAAAAAATTTAAAGACGACTAACGATCCCACAATTTTTTTAATGTTTCTGCGTAATTACACATGCACAAACATACACATGCACACACACATACATGCATGCACACACACACACACATGCATATACACACAAACTCAACATACACACATACATATATACAGGTACAGATAAATATACACACAAATTTCTTTGCCTTTACTACAAGAAACTTCTCAGAGTAAATGCTTTTTTATAATGACTCAATGATGGGAACATTCTCTAATGAAACAGTTATTATCTTTTTTCATTTCCCGAGAGATTCCAAAGAATTAACGGTCGTAAAAGTAACGGAAAAAAAAAACTGAAATATTAAGAAAAGGATTTAGAATTAAAATTTGAAGAGAAGGCCTGTTATGACCATAGAAAAAAAGAAAACATAAGGACTAACAGACTGTTAGATGGCATACAGATAAAAGATACAAAATAAAGTTGAAAATTAAGGAGAATGTTTTTTATGAAATGAGAACATCTCAACTTATTTCCCTTTAGAGTGTCCATTTAGGCTTTCAAGTACAGTTTAGAATGATGATGAAACATGAAGACAAACAGAGGAATGTCAAGAACAGAACATTTTTCCATTTACAGAAAATCAGATAACTGGAGAGAAATGAATAAAATATTTGGTAAGGAAGATGAATTGAAATGAACAATTAAACGATTTATGTTGTCAATCATTTTTAGGGTGCCAACGTTTAAGCTTCAATTTTGTATATTGGAATAGAATGAATTATGATGTTATGCTAAAAAAAAAAAAAAAAAAAA